CTTTCTATACAGCATAAGGACATCAATACATATCAGAAAATGTAATAAAAATTTGGGGTGATTTCGGAGCCATTTTTTGAAAAAACCATGGGCTATTGCCTTGGGTATTTTTCATCTCATAACTTAAAAAATTTATTTGGCATCAGCTCAAACTTTCTACATAGCATAAAACACTTCAAATTAATGTACGTGTACGGTTACAAGTTGATTACTTTTGGTAAGTATCCCAATAACTTTGTTGCATGTTCTCTCAGTAAACGTTGTCTCTCTTGTTCAACAATAGCTCTCCTCATGGACTCCTGTCTCTCCTCCTCCTTCCTCTCCAACACTTCAAGCTCCTAAATAAGTATAACACAAGTATCAATTATTAATATTACGCTGGTAAACCCATTTGTACAGTATTCTATACACTCATAAATCCATTCCCATACTCATAAATCCATTCCTACACTTAAAAATCCATTCCTATACACTCATAAATCTATTCATATACTCATAAATCCACTTCTAAATTAAGAAATTCATTCCTATACACTCATACTGTATCTCATTCCTATAATTCAATTCCCATACCTTCAGTCTCTGATACTCTTGTCTTCGTTCCTCAATCAGTTTCTCTACTGCCCTCCTGTGCTCCAGCTGCTTCATTCTTCTCTTCTGTGCATTCATGAGCTCAATGCGATCATCCTCAGCAAACTTAGCCATCAACTGCCTTCTATATTCTTCCTCTTCTGCTAGTTCTGCTATTCTCTTCTTTTCTTTCATGATGAGATGTTCATCGTGAGCCTCTTGCAGCTCCAGTCTTTGTCTTATCTGAGCTTCAAGTGCTTTCTGTTAGAAGGAAAGAGAAGAGAGATGAAAGAATATTGCACATGTTCAATAAATAGACACAAGAATATACTGTGAATTATTAGTGGATATACTGTACATGCATATGTACATGTACATACCTTTTCCATTTGTCTTTCTTTCTCTTCTTGCTCTTCCATGTAAAGCTCAGTACGTATCCTATGATAAAAGAGTTTGATTATTTTTTAAAATTCTCTTTGTGTACAGTACCTCTCCATTTCTTCCACTTCTCCTTGCTTTTGAGCAATCTCTTCTGATAGCTACAAACACAGGAAGTAAAACACACACTTTCTCTCTCTCCCCTTCTCTCTCTCCTTACTTTAGCATACAACTGTGACTTCTTCTCTTCTTCCTCTTTAGCTTTCTGTGCCCTCTCTGCCTCCCTCTCTTGCTGCAGGTTACAAAATTCAAGTATCCTCCTATTCTCCTCCTCCATAAGCTCCTTCTCCATTATCTTCCACTAAAAATAACAAAAAACATATTATTACAAAATTAATATGATAAAACTTCTAGGATAAAATTATCCTGTTATTATACAAAAGTGTTATATGCTGTGAATATGTACTGTCCTACCTCTTCTCTCTTCTGAAGGACTCCTCAATATATTGTTTAGTGCCCTCTGCTTCTCTAGCCTTGCCTCTGCTTCTCTGTTATAATAATAATAATAATAATAATAATAATAATAATAATAATAATAATAATAAATGTACTAAATACATATGTACATGTACATACATACATTATACAGTCATCATGCAATTACATGTACATGTATAGACCATTATACCTTTGATCTTCTTCATATATTTTTCTAACTATCTCATCAATCATTAGTTTCTCTTTCAAAAACTCTTCGTAAGCCTCTCGCCTCTTTATCTCCTATTGTATCAGAAATAATCATAGTAAAATTCACTCCTTTTTAATTTTGGCCATGTACTAGTACATTTATTTCATGTTATACTTGTTCCTCCAGTTGATTGTGCAGCTGTTCTCTGTATTCAAACTTCTCTTCTTCTTTCTCTCTTTGTCTCTCCATGTCTTCCTCCATTGCCTTCTCGTAATCTCTCTTCATCATATCATCAAGAACTGCTTCATAATACTAGAAGAAGAGAGAAGGAGGGAGAATACTAACACTACATTATATTTACACCATATGGCTTATTCATCACTATGCTGTACTATAATGTTTACATTAAACAATACACTGCTGACAGTATAATACACACATATAATGTGATACAGGTACACGTACAATATGTAAATATACAGTACATCTGAATGGACCCGTGTCTAAAAATAGAACAGGAACTGCTAACCACACCCACTAGACTATAAATAGAACGTCACTTGAAACCTCTCACAGTCCACAAAGTACATTGTACATGAAGTGACAGAAAAAGAGAAGACAATGAATCTAATTCTTGTGATATTTGGTATAGCAGGATTCAATGTTCTCCTATGGTGCAACATGGTGATTGTAAATGCAGCACCTTTTGGATATAAAGGAGAAGAACACCATCATCCTACTCAACCTTCATCTCATCAATACAGCAGTCATCTTGGTGAAGGAGAATCAAGAGAAGCTATTGAATACAAGGAATTGTATAAAATGGGAAGGAGGAATGGAGAGCTTCATGAAGGTGAGAGAAAGGTCTATGATGACAAGTTGTTTAATGGAGGTAATGGAGAGAGAGGGGAGGAGGATAGAGTGACCATACCACAAAGACATGGCCATGATCTTGTGATGAAGTATGAGAGACTGAGAGAGGAAGAAGATTATCATGGTAGGAAACAACATCACATGGAAAAGGAAGAGAAAGAAGAGGGAGCTGAACAAAGGCAGAGCTACAAGCTAAAGCAAGATTTTCCTCACAAAAATGGTAATGAGAAATATCACTACAAATCTAAGGGAGATGAAGAAAGCTTGAGGCCAGAAGAGAAAATGAAAGGACATTATAGTAACATGCCAAGAGAGAATTAATTAGCTGAAAAATACAAAAATCATGACTTTACACTTTTTTTAGGCCAATGAAAGTTTTGTTTTTGTATAATAATGTACACTGTATCTCATTGAATATTAGAACTTTCATTGTTTAATTTTTTTGCATAATAAATTTAATAATAAAATTGAGAGCTACACATTTCCACTGAACGGTAATGCTGTCAAATACACATACATATCACATACATGTACACTGTACATACAGTATACAGTGAAGTACACATACATGTTCATGTATGTATTTACTTTCTCTTTTTCTTTCATTTCAATCTTCTCTTGAAGTTGAGCTGCTCTTTCCTTGTTCATGTATCCAGCGCGTAACTTTGACTCTAACTCTCTCAACTCCTGACTATCAATAAAAATAATATAATGCCATTATTTACAAAAGATGAACATGTACTTCAATGCATATTGGGCTTTAAAATTTCAGCCAGAATCAGCTCAAACTACATTTACACAGCATAAGGGCATCAATATGTGCCACATTGGATAACAGAGGGGAGGCAACTTTGGTCACATGTTTTTAAATTTTGGTATACTTTTAAATTTAGGTACCAAAAATAATGACCCAGTGCTATTTACCTGTTGTCTCTGATTTGTTGACGAAGTCTCTCATCTCTTTGGGATTCAAGTTTAATCTTTTGTAACTCCTAAGAAAGAAAGAGGGAGGGAGGGAGAGGTAAAGGGGTGGAGAAAGGAGATTGAAGTAAAAAGAAGAAGATAGCCATTACATAGAGTACTGCAATAATAGTGTAAAGTCTATGTCAGTCTTTTCAGAATGTGTAGTATTTGTAGTTGCTCATACTTCAGCTATTCTTTTCTCTTGCTCCAGTTGCTGTTCTCTTAACTTTTTCTCTCTAATGGATGCTGCTATCTTCTCGTCTGTTTCTTTCTCTGTGGCCTCTTGCTGCAATCTAAAAGGCACCATTAAGCATACACTACACAGTTACAAATAGCTTTTTACATTCTAGCTAGAATTTTCTTTTCCACTCTCTCCTCGGAGGCCATGTTGGCCCGCATTAGTTTGTCTTGTGCCACCATTTTGAGCTGTTCAGTCCTCTCTACCTCTTTCCTCCTGTTCTCGGCTCTCATTCTGTCTACATCTCCTTTAGTGAACAGTATTTGCCTTCTAGCCATCATCTCTGCAACTCACACTCAAAAATCTAGATCCGGGTCAATACATTATCGCTGTTGCCATAGCAATCAAACGGAAATTACATCTTTTATTTAAAAAATTAGTTACTAAGACTTCAAAATTAATTTTTCAATAAAATTTAACAAATAAAATGCAAACCTAAAGGTAATGCCTAATATCTCGAAACGATACCTGTAAATAGCAAAAACAGATATTGATATGTTAATACTATAGTCCCTAATAAATAAAACCAGTAGATTTAAATCAAGAAAACCATAAAAGAACATAGTTGCAGCATAAATCATCCAAAATCCAATATGAACGGTTGCTAAGACAAAAGTAATAACTATTAAGAAAATAACTATTAGTACTAACATTGCAAATATAGCCAATAGATTTAGCATGGGCCAATTCTCGCAAATTTCAAAATATTTTTTTTCTAATGACTCTACACCTCTTCCCAACCATGTTTGTACTTCTTTTTGTCGCTTCATAGCTTGATAATCTTGTTCCCTTACTTCCCTATCAATAAGAACCAATTTCATTGCTTTATGTAATTCATTTTCTCTCTCCAGCATTCTAATCTTGCTTTCAATTTCTGATTTTTTTAGTGCTTCCATGTCAGATTTTAATATGCACAATTCATTCACACACCATTCCTTTTCTTCAGAAATTTTTTCCAGTTCCATTTTTGTCTCGTATATCTCATTATTTTTAGCTGAAATTGTATTTGTATAATCTAAAGTTAATATTTGTATTAATTCTTTTTTCTCGCGAATTTCATCTAGCAGGGTCTTATCATTTTTTGTACATTTCTCTTCAACAGCCTGAAGCACTGTAAGCATATCTGGTCTACTATTCGGACGATCCTGAAGGCATTGCTTAGCTAAAGGAAGCAGCTCTTTCTCATCTTCTGGTATTTTCTGGATATATTTTGATCGTCTGTCCCACTCAGCTACTTTAGACTGCCAGAACATAAAGTACTGGACAAATGCATCAGTTGGTTCAGGGAATTGACAAGTGAGAACATGAAGAATGAGACAGCCATAAGTGAACACGTCAACCTTTTCATTATAAACAGGTTTAGTTGCAAGAGCCTCTGGTGGCATTACAATAGCATTGCCAGGGACTTGAGTGAGCTTTTGATGCGATTTGAACTTATCGATTAATCTCGATACTCCAAGATCTGATATTTTAGCTGAGTATAGCGGTGTTAATAACACGTTATTAGCAGTGAGGTCACGATGTACAATGGCAGGACGTTTACCATGAAGATAACATAAACCCTTAGCAACATCGGAGAGAATGGAATACTTCATTTGAAGTGGCAGTCCATCATGTTCGAGTGAATATCTGAGAGTGAATGGAAGATACTCCATTACTAACATTGGTACTTGTGAACGAGGAGGATAATAGACACCAATTAACTGGACAATGTTGGGATGCCTTTGCTGACTGTGAAGAAGAATCTCTTCATTGAACTTTTTCAGTGTGGTTTCCTATTATTATATAAATAATATTTATAATTAGGCATCTGTATAAAAAATTTGGGCCACATATCCTTCAGGACAAAATTCACCAAAGCATTACCAAACACATATGGACTCTTTGCCCACACTAAATTCAATACTGCCGGTTTTTCATGTTGCGTTAATTTTCACATTTTTATGCTCAGCACCTCAAATCCACAAAATTAAAAACCCCCTCCAACACTAAAATTAGCACACATAAATTTTAATCTTTATTTAAAAAAAAACAACATTTTAGACACTCAAAATTATGATTTAATGGTATAAAAATTACTCAAATAATTATAAAAATACCTGTACTATCAGATCGTGTAGTTTCTTAGCTGCACAGATGGTTCCATTCACTTTGACTTCAAGTACCACTCCATAAGCTCCTCGGCCTAACTCCGTTCCAGTTTCCTGTACATTTATCAAAAGCAAGGCCTCCAGTTCAAATTCCATCTTTATGCCCGTTTGAATTTTTGTATGTTTGCCTAAAGGACCACGCCCACTTGGCACAATCAATCATGGATTTTTAAACTATGGCACAATCAATATAGAATGTGTGGTACTAAATCAAAAATCAATCCTCAATATATCAAAAATAAATTAAGGAAAAATACAGCTATTGTAATCAGAACAGTACTATAAAATAGTACAGGCTTATTTTTACGAATTTTAAAAGTTTTTTTTTCAAGTGACTCTACACTTCTTCCCAGCCACGTTTGGAGTAATTTCTGTCTTTCATATTCTTGTTGCTTAGTAATGTGACTCCTAATCTCAGCTTTCTTTGCCGCCATATCATTTTCATACTTTGACTTCAATTTGTTTAACTCGGTTTCCAGTCTTGTTTGTGTCATTTTTTGATTAGCAATGTGACTCTTAATCTCGGCTTCTTTTGCTGCCATGTAGCCCAACTTAACTTCATGCTTTGATTTCAGTTTGTGTAGCTGTGTTTCAAGTGCTTCCTGCTGCTCCGATATTATAGTTCCATATTCTTTTTGAAGATTGTCGATTTCTTCTTCTTTTGCCGCTACCATAAAGTTCAACTCAGCTTCATGTTTTGATTTTAATTCGTTTAGCTTTGTTTCAAGCACTTTATCCTGCCCTGCTATTATAACTTCATATTTTTTTCTTAAAGTATCAATTTCTGCTTTTTTTGTTGCAGTCATGTTACTCAACGCTACTTCATGCTTTGACTTTAATTTGTGCAGCTTCTTTTCCAATACTTTTTGCTGCTCGATCAGCATTGCTCCACATTCTTTTTTTAGACGATCGATCTCTGCAAATTTGTCTGCAGCCATGTAATTCAACTCAGCCTCATGCTCCAATTTTAATTCAT